ACTGGAATCATGGGAATTGGATTCGAAAAATGTTTGAGTTTTTATAATTCAGCCAGATAATTTGAATGAGTGGTGGGCTCACTTGGAAGTGCAGTTCCAGTGAACTTTTTGTGGATAGATTTCACCATAGTTATTTGGGTTATATCCATCCAAAGGTATTGAAGTTTATAACCTTGGTTATATATATATATATACCCACGTGTAATCTCAACTGCACCCCGAAGTACATATGTATGTATATATATATATACAGGTACATAATGTGTCAGTATAGGTTGATCTAGGTATGATAAGCATTTGGGTGTTACCCACCAGGAGCGTTGCCCGTGGCTGAAAACCTCTAGATTTGTCAATAGGAAAACCAACGAATAATAGGTGGTTTGCTCCTGCCAGACGTTAACCACATACTTACTCCAAAAGATCATATTGGTTGTGGTTATTTCATCTTGTAAATTGGCAACCATCCTTTGATATCCCTTGTTGCAGTGAACTTTTGCTGGATAGATTCATCATACTTATTAGGGCTATCCCAACAAAATGGGGGCTTAATTTCCTCCCCTATACCCATGAATTACATTGCTAATATCCCACTTATAGCCATTATTTATTGGTTACTCATGGTTAATCCCTATTATTGTTGGATATTGTTGTTCTATATCCCCAACAAATACTCCCATCGTTCCCCGTTTGTTTTACCCTTTCATCCGCAGGCCTTCGACGGTGCCTGGCCGTACCAAGCATGTGCCATGCCCTGAGAGTCCCTGGCGACAATGCGCCAAAGCACAAAAGCTGACGGATCGGCCCAAGCTCAGCAGGCGAGTGACGTGACCCGCAGGGCGAAAGCCGCATTTATTTTTTGTGTGAAATGTGCAAGGAACTTTCCTACATGGGTTTGTTTGAGAATGGATGAACATGGGATATATCCTTCAAATGTCCATTTTATTGCTTTTTAATGCGGATAATGGTGACAATCCAGTGAAATTGAGATTGGGGACTAAACAAACACGAAAGCATCTATAAGCGGCTACAAATGTGATTTGACTCCAACAAGTGTGGGGATGTGAAGCCAGGCACAATTGTGAATTTGCAGGGGTGGAGATGGCACTGGTGGATTGGAGGATAAGAAACCGATGGGGTCAGAGAAGCCAACAACAATATGTCGTACACAGTGCTGATGGGTTTGATCATCTAACCATCAAACATATCAACTAAAGCTACTGGGAATTATGATTTGTTTGCTTCCAAGCACAGTAGCTGCAACAACGTCAAGGTTCCCGGTTCGGTGTAGGCCCGAGAAACGTCAATTGAGTGCGAATACCTACAACCTTGTTATTTTCCAGTTTTCAACTGTGTTGATATCATAAGTTGATTAGGATTGACTTGGATGAATTTGTGCGTGTAGTCCATCCTCCAGGATTTGGTGCTATACCCCAGTATACCTCGCATTATACCATATTGTAAACCATTTAAATCTTCCAAAATCATTCATAATCATCCCCGCCAGTGGTCTGATTTTGCTATCATATTTGCATTTTATAATGCATTATATTTACACCTTGAACGACATAATTTTACTGTGCCTGGATGAAGGTACTACAATAGTATACCTTATCTTTATCCTTAAGTATATCCTTAAGTATATCATTGTGGTGAATTACCTAGTTAGGATCCAGGTATATCTATGTATATATATATATATATGTACACCATATCGTTAAACTACAATCTAAGATACTACTATCTAAGATGGATGAAACACCCCAAACACTTCATATATTGAATCATTTTTGGAAGTATAAGTTTAAACCATTAAGGATTAATATAGTACATTAACATTAACATTTATGTACCTCTGGAGAGTTTCAACTTTCAGTAGCGGTCTTTAATCTGCAACTTCAAACTTGGCTTGATATGAATTTTAAATTTTACTATATGTATCCTAATAGTAGTCGTGATTACTCATGTTATACATATATATATATATATACAATGTGCCCTCCTAGTTATAAGTTGGTTAATGAACCCTTTAACTATAGTTATAAGTAACCATAGTTGTTGGAGTTATGTTCACCAACTTAGCTATCTAGGGGGCCCACATTGTATATATATATATATACATTATATACATACCCATAGGATCCATGTATGCTATATAGGTAACATTTACCATCAATATACCCCTATTTTGTTTGCATATATACCAGCACCATGGATCCTATGGGATATACATATATACATATACATATACATATACATATATATATTACCCTCTGGTTATTTACCATAGCCGTGGAAAATGGCCCATTTATAGAGGATTTTCCCATTAAAACTTCCATTTGTGAGGGATTTTCCATGGCTATGTTGAATAACCAGAGTGTATATTATGACTATTTTATACATGTTGCACCGTGAAATCGCCAGGTTCGGCCTGGAACCTCTGCCCGTGGCCGCTGGGGAAGTGCACCCCAGGAAGTCCTCGGTGCGCACGTGCGCCGCGAATGCTGGGTTTAAGGAACGAAAAACAGGCGTTTCATGGACAAAAATGGTGGATTTATGGAAATTTATAGTTGATTTATAGATTAGGTCTGTTTGTCTCTGAACTTGGGTACATATTCATATTGGAATTGAAACTGGGTTTTGCCAATGGAGAGTGGCATTTACTCGACCAGAAACAGGAGATGAACCAAGGAAAATAAGGATGTTGCAAACGAAAAAGTCAGAAATCTGGATGTACAGTTGATTTATGATAGCTTAGGTACTTCATAAGTGAGTTTAAGCTGGGTTGATAGGTGATATCAGTTAATATACAATTGGATGGGCGAAACTACAGAAGCAAACATAATTGGACACTTTCCTTTCAGTAGTACATGTTGATGATGACTACGTTTGACATGTTGATGATGACTACGTTTGGCTCCTCATTTGTGTGCGGAACCCCTAGTTTCCACCACGAAAAGACACCTTTCGCCGAGTTCCCAGGCCGCCCGTCTCGTCAGGTACAACGGAGTGGGCCAGTCCACCATCAACGCGCCACCCAGGGGGCCCAGTGAAGACATGATGAAACACTTCCAGGGCACCGCGGGGCTACCAAGTTGGCATCGGCTGCACTATCCTTGAAGGAACTGGGTTTAGGGGGAACAGGCCATGGAGAGTCACCAGGGATCTAGATGGTCAGATTATGTCACAAAAACATCTGTTTTGGGCCACTTAGCTTCAAAGTCACATAGGTAATGTTGACCGTGCCGGCCGATGGCTTCCACCTTCCTGGCCCAGTCGGTGTTGCCACTTTTACTGCGGGGTTCAGCAGCGGCTTTCAAAGTGCTGTGATGCCCGGTGAAGAAATCGAGATGTTGTCCAGCCCAAAGTAGAAATGGCTCATGGACGTCCAAAGGTTTCCTGAGAAAGTCAATCTTGTATGTGAGCTGTTGGTGTGCGCATACCAGTTGGTTTGAAAAGCAGGAGTTATAGAGGATAAAAGTCAAGTACAATCAGATAAGTGTTACACTGTACACTGTTATACTACATTGGAATATATACAACGTATTGCCCATAGTTAGCTAGGACAGTTTATAGCTAGGCTACCTAGGGTTTATGGTACTGTGATTACAACTATACTCGGTATGTTTTAAACCAGCAAAAAAAACAACATTTGGGGGCATCACCTATACACATTGGATCTTGACCATGGAGAGATTCATATTGGAAACCGCACAGCTTCGGACAGCGGAAGAACCGCTGGAAGCTGAGTCGAAATGTTCGATCGACACCTCCATAGGAGGCCGTGGTGAAAATGTGAAGCACGGCGGAATGGGGATGGTGTTGAGATTTGGTGATAGGTAATTTAACATAGCTGGGGAAACATGGGGATTATGCTGGTTCTTGATTTCAAAACTATGGTTTTTGCCATTTAGAAGGTACCATTGTACTGGCTGGTGGTTTCAAACATTGCTTTTATGACTTCCATTTCATATATGGGATGTCATCCCAACCCCATTGACGAACTCATATTTTTCAAAATGGTTATTGCACCACCAACCAGCTGGTAATTTGTTATATAGCTATTGCATAGCTGGCCCATAGAAATAGTAGATTTACCGTTCTTCAAGATTGTGATTTTCCATCGCTTTCTGTATGTTTACCAGAGGGTAAGGGTTGCTCCAAGCCATTATTGGCAAATGATAGCCACAGGTGAGAGGGAAATGAGTCATTTGACAACATTTGACAACATTTGACCTTTCAATTTCTTCCCCTTACCATCAGGATCACACACTTTGAGATCGCTGCAAGCGCACTATTATCTACAGAATTGCTTGCAACACCCCTGGTACAAGGCAGGTAGATGGAACCTAATGATGGTGAATGATGGTGTGTCTAGTGAGACGGTACGCTGCTTTCCAGGTTCATGGCTAAGATCTTGGAGTCAGATATCTCAGGGTCAGAAACAACGATCAACGTAAGGGAGGTGGCTAAGAAAAAGGGGCCATGGTCATTGTGATGTGTTCAGTTTTGAAGCGGACATAGATCTGCAAAGATATGTGCAAGTTGCTTGTACGAAGTTATTTATGTTTAATATTACTTAATTATTTATATCCCATAGGATCCATGTATGCTGCATATGGTAACATTTACCATCAATATACCCCAAATGTTAGCATATATACCAGCACCATGGATCCTATGGGTATAATTATATTGGGTGTGGCTGGAAATTGGTACCCCTAAGTTTGATGCTTCATGAGTTCATCACTATGCCAGGCCTACACGTGTTGGGATGGCTGGGGCCCCATTTCCCAACCTCCATTGGGATGGCGATAAAAGCACCACGTGACCTGTTGCGATGTCTACTTAGTCTACTTACTTTTTATGGGGAAGCCACTTTGAGATCATTCATGATAAATAATGTTATAAACTATCTCCAAATGGTAGGTTTATTGAATGGTGGGTTTCCCACATGAATTCCATGATGAATTCCACGTTCTCCACGCCTTTTCATCTCGAACAGGATCTAACCTGTGCTGTGAACCCCCCCGCGTCGCGAGCTTTACCGTGCACCAGCCATGGGACGCCGACCTGCGAAGTGCTATCGATACAACAAGAACAAGCCGTACCCCAAGACCCGTGCCCTGACATGTTGGAACATGTTGGAACTGTTGGTATCCTGAAGTTTGTTTCCAGGATTAGTAATTGGATCAAATCTGCATATACCATATGTATATATATATATATAAATACTATATGTGTATGCATATATATATATACACATAATGATCCGGTATGGAACTTCAAGGATCATTGCTCTGACTTGGATGTGGCACATGACGCATGACGTTTGCCCTGACGATATCATGGGTGTTTTACAGAATCCAGTTTTGGTTAGGCGAAAGTAAGGAGTGATAGTCATACTCTTCTGGTTGGTGGTTTGGATCATTTTTTATTTTTCCATATATTGGGAATAGCAACCCCAGCTGACTTTCATATTTTTCAGAGGGGTAGGTATACCACCAACCAGTTATATTTGAACCCGGTGAAAGCCAGACAAACTTAGGTTTAGAGTTTCCTTTGGGATCATGCTTGCATGAGTAGACCTTGCGGTTGATCTATTTGATGTCTCCGTTCTCTCTCCGTATCATATACCAAGCAAGTTGCTGGTGAAGTCCCGTGTGGTATCCCGATAATTCCGAGTTTGTTCATGGGTTAAGTCCCTTTCAAATTTCATTCACATGTAACATCATGTAACATATATGAAGATGGGTTAAGTGCCTTGAAATTGTCATGAACACATAACATATATGAACATCACCACGATACCCCATGGTTGTGAGGATGACATCCCTACGTGTTTCGCTAGCCAGCGCGAAACAGAAACCAGACACCGTCACACTGCTAGGCTACTGCCGAGGAGTGCCAGATCCAAAGATCCGCACCTTGGAAGATTAATGGATAGCCTTAAAGATCATAGATGTAAATAGTAACTAGTAAACTCATGCCTACAGAATACTTAAACAATTCAATAACAATTTATTATCATCATATATTTATATACTATATAATACTATATATACTATATAATACTATATATATATATATTTAAATATATTGTAAACCTTTGATTTGCCTTTATTTGTTTGCTTTTAGAATCTACATGGAATTTCACCATCACAGTGGGATGGGTGTAAGGTTGCTATTGTCATGAGAATCTAAAAGTCTTTGTTTTTAGCTTGAACGGGAGAAACATAAAGTAGCCTATTGTTGGGCTGCCTTTTGGCAAGGTACTCTTAGCCTTAAACTTGCATGAGTAGAAGTGTTTTTCAAAATGCCGGACACTGAATATCAATTTTAATAGGCAACATAGGAATTAACCAGATTTAGGCGTTTCCTATTTTCAGACAAACCCACTTGGGGACACTTAGAGGTGTAAAAACACATATTTTCTGGCAAACTAAATACTTATGAAAGACGACCATGTATTGTTGATTTAGTTGTAAACATGGTGGTTTTCCATAGCCAACTGTTAGTTTCCCAGAGGGTATTCAAAAGTTATTATTAAGGTTCAGTTGTGGTTTTACCCATTGGTCCTTGGCCGGCCCCATTTATTTGTATGTTTGATAGGGAAACGGTTTGGAGGGCATATTGGATTTGTGAGAAGCAACTTGCTATGGAAACATGTTTTGGATTTGGGGGTACGGCTCTACCTATTGAACCCTGCACATGAACTTTTCAAAACCAATGTGTGAGTTCATTGATGTAACTTTCAGCCACTGCCAAGCTGACTGGTGCCTCCTGACTATGTTTTTGTCACTCCGAGGCATCTTCGATGTGGGAAAGAAGAAGATGCCATGCGATGAGCCGCTGGACATCATATTGCATGTGGTAAATGCTAGAATCCCTATAGCCTATATCAATTCCTCAAAATATAGTAATGTAATATATTGGATATATAATAAGATGTTGCAATAAACTATCATTGTTAGCTATAGGATATAAAGACTACTGGACCCACCAAAGATCATGTACTAGTCTTTCAGCATGATATTACTTTTCTATCTTTGGTGGGTCCAGTAGTGTAACATGAAACCCATATTCATGGCCAACCCATCCAGGAATCACGGACATGGACACTCCAAAGTTATGGCCATGGCTATTAGTGAACTAACTGGTGAAATAGCTGGTTATTAATGGTGATTAATGGTGATCAATAGTGCTCAATCATGGTTAATAGTGGCTAATAGTGATTAATGATGGTTATAACTGGTTATAAAACTATGGGATTATACATTCTATAATTGGGGTGACTTGTTAGCACTTATAACTGGTATATAAAGGGCCAGAACTGCACCAACCACATCATTTGACATGTCCGCAGCGTTTATGATTCTTGCACCCATGCAATGAGATATGGGACATAAATCAGCACCAAAGGTCAAGGAATCCCATCCACCAGGATGTTTCCGCAGCGTTGTGGATGCAGCAGGTGCTGCGATCCAAAGGGAAGTATATTAGCTGGGTCCTGTGGAATTTGCATTGTTTTTCAATGGAACTTATATATGATTTAGGAATATCCCTTCTTCTTCCTTTGGGCGCCACTGTAGCCAGGGTTGTTTATGTGATCTTGGCTAGTGCATTGACCTTGTTCTCCGTTTTGGATGATTTCGGTGGAATTTGAAGGTCACCAGTGATACCACCAGAAGCCTATCTTGGACAATCTTTGGATTGTCAGCTGCAAAAATGCCTCGACAAAATGTCATCAATTGCGTCAGTTGTCCAACTAGTGGAATTTAGATAATCCCGCTGGTATACAATACCCTCTGGTAATTTAACACAGCTATTGAATATGATCATAGAAATAGTGAAATTTCGCAAACTGTTAGATTACCAGGCCGGGTATGTTGTTTTCACGTGGTGACCATTCCGTATACCGACGCGGAAGAACGTCATCAACAGCATCATTGATCCGCAAACTGGCACGACTTTGGACTGTTGTAGGTCGCCCATTTGCAAACGCTAATGATGGCCCAACACTACAATAGCCACAATTTTGTTGTGTTAGGACTACCTGCTGCGCCGCTAAATGAAGGTGGCTATCGGTTGTCCACGTTTTCCCAGAATTTCCCCCAGTGAAATTGCAGTTTTAAGATATCGATTGATATACCCATTTGGAGACAAATCACCAGTATACAAATGACCAGAATGTCTATTGGAAACAACATACATACATATATATATATATGTGTGTGTGCTCGTACAATGCAATATATATATAGTATTTGGTGCGTGCTGTATGTATATAAGTGTATATATATATATTACATGTTCCACAGTACATAAGTAGTGTTTACTCTGGGAAATAGTATATATATATATACATATTATCTAATTACGGTATAAACAAATATATATATACATATATATTTATATATCATATATATAATATAATAAAGTGTATATATATAATATATAATAAAGTATATATATAATATAACATGTATGTATATATATATATATATATATATAAACTATGTATTGTACATATATATATATATATAATCATTTATGTACATTTTACATTTTATATTTACGGTAGATATCTATTATACACATGGCATATCCGCTCCATCCCCCACGTTCTGCGAGGTTCCCCGCGGCAGCGCATTTGGTCTGCGACGAAGACCAGCAGCTGACCGCAGAGGCGCTCGAGGCGGCGCGTATCGCGGTGAACAAGCGACCTGGCCGGGTGGAACAACGGTGGAACAACGCTAGGGATTTATACAGTTATGGCCGTGGCTATTAGTGAACTAACTGGTGAAATAGCTGGTTATTAATGGTGATTAATGGTGATCAATAGTGCTCAATCATGGTTAATAGTGGCTAATAGTGATTAATGATGGTTATAACTGGTTATAAAACTATGGGATTATACATTCTATAATTGGGGTGACTTGTTAGTACTTATAACTGGTATGTCGGGCCATAGCTGTCTGGGATTGTCGTGGGAATTATGATTGACATGTGACTTACTGGGATCAACCAACCAATATATGTGAGTTAACGGAATAAAATTGGAGATATGCGAACTTAATTATGGTACTTGAGTTTGTTATACCCCAAAATGTAAGTCTTACTTGGAGAGTCCTGATATATAAACCGATATATTTTGGCAATCCTATGTTTAGGCAAACCCATATGTATCCCATATGCGGATAGTCAACACCCATGACATCTTCATCGCTTCATTGGATGTTTAATGTGCGGGCTTGCCCACAGCTTCGTATAGGTGGCCAACGTGACTGAAGGCCAAGTGTCAGTGGTATAATACCCATCAATCTAGCTGGGGTGGGTGCCGTACTGATGATCTACTTGGAATACGTGGATAAAGGGCTCACCATTCATGGTGGGTCGAAGAAACTGAGCAAACATGAGAGGTCAACGTATGGCATGCACGACCCATCACAACGCATCATTCAGATAATGTTACTCTATATGGGTTTGTCTGAAACTAGTATACCCCTAAATGCACTGGATAATCATCAGCGTCCCCATTAAAAACAAAAAGCTACAATTTTGGGATATTTAGGTATTTAGGGGTACCATTTCCAGACCAACCCAGATGGGTGGAAGCAACGGCACTCCATAGACGGCTGGTTCTCGCACAGAAACGGTTTTTATCAAGTGCAAGACGTATTCAGCCCTGAACAGAAGCCAATAACAGAAACAGACAAATTTTGATCGTTGAAAACCATGGAGACAGATGGGTTAATTATAAATTGTAGAATATGGTATTCAAGTAATTAATCAAAGTTTAAATCCCTATCTACTGTGGCATACTAAAACTCAGTAGAATGGTTAGTTCATGAGATCATCCCAGCCGTTCAATCTCTATTTTTCCACGTCGTTCCATGTCGTGCCAAGGTACATGGCGACCAACGCTGGTAAGGATTTCTTCCACATCCGTCGCTTGACCGGGTTCGCCATGTGATGATGTGATACCCAAAGTAGTAACTGAGGTTATTACCATTTATTGCCCACAATGTGGACCCCTTAGTTATAAATTGGTTTATAAAGCCCATGATTACTATAGTTATCAGTTATAAGTATCATAAACCAGAATTATTGGAGTTATGTTCACCAAGCCAGCTATAGTTTGGGGCCCCACATTGTACTTATACAATCTTGTGGGATAACTTCAGTGGGGATTTATTCACCAGGCTTTTCCACAGTTTTGTTGGAAATTGGCTCGTATCAAGACACCAATATGGGGTGTTCCATAGTCATGTGGATACCCCAAAATGGTTGATTTTTAAGGGAAATCCTTTTAAAATGGATGATTTGGGGGTACCCCTATTTCAGGAAACCTCCATATTGCCTTTTATTTTTTGGTTGCCGGTTGGTTTATTGTTTCTTCGGACTAGCCATCTTAATTCGGAATCATTAATCCCATTTCATTCCCACGATAGTGTATTTTTTTCTGGCTTGCTTGAAATCAAGAACTCAAGAACCCAATCATCCACTATTAGTGAGGCATTCGCCCCCATCCTTTCAACGTGCTGCGCATTAACAAGACTCTCGGCAGGGAAATCGTTGGCCCGTAAGGTGGTTTGGGATATGTTGGGATGTGCCAAAAGTATCCTAAAGTAACAATCCCTTTTTTGCATGGGGGTTTACTGGAAGACCAGGAGAAACACAAAGCGACAAATCTATGGAATGTCTTGGTTTTTTTAAGATTTGCATTTGCTGTGCCACGGGTGGGGACACCAGTCTGAGAGGTGGGCACTTGGAAGTGCAGTTCCACTTTTAAGTGGATATAAAACTTATACAACCATAGGAGTTATAATCCCATTTATACCACGATAATCCATATAAAGGTGGATAAGAGGAGTTACAATCCTATTTATGGGGTGTTTACAACGATGGTTGTACCGAAAAAAACCATTTGTAACTTCAATTGGACCCTGCCGTCCTAAAGTGTGCCTGAATCGGGATCCAACCAACAAGCCGAGAACATGACCAGTATCAAAGATGACCATGAACAATGACTGGTTGGTGGTTTCAAACATGTTTTATTTTCCATTTCATATATGAGATGTCATCCTTCCAAAATTGATGAACTCATATTTTTCAAGATCGTTATTGCACCACCAACCAGACATGTTTTCAAGTCAAGTGGCGATTTTGGGGTACCTTTCATTTTCAAGCACACCCATTTTTTACTCACTGCGGGGTTTGGGAATCTAGTAGCTTAGTATGGTTTGGGAATCTAGTTCAATCTACCCTCTGGTTATGTAACATAGCCATGGAAAATGGCCCATAGAAATAGATGGCTCACCTATTAAAAGTGGTGATTTCCCATGGCTATGTTAAATAACCAAATGGTAATGGGTATATTGGATATAGTTGGGATATCTGATGTCGGATACATGATATGTCCTGCTGACTATATACATGGTATACCCTCTGGTAAACTTTCACAAAACTATGGAGAATCACCATGCTATCAATGGGTAAATCCACGAACTAAATCACTATGGTTGGTGGTTTCAAGTTCCACTATAAATCACTATAAATCACTATGGTTGGAAAATCATCATTTTCCTGCTGACTATATACATGGTAATTGTTTCAAGTTCAAGGCACCCATTTTTGCTGCTTCCCATCAGAGATCGCCTCTGAGGACCTTGTCCTGTGCCGGGGCCGATCGTCTGTCCAGCGGCATGCGCGGGGCCTTCGGCAAGCCTTACGGCACCGCGGCGCGCGTGGACATCGGACAGGCTGTTGTTCGGGGAGCTGGTGAGCTATTGATTTAAATAGGGAAAATTAGTTGGGATGTAATGGGGATTTCAGAGATATCAATGATTTTGGGGGATGTCTATATATTTTACTGAGGCATTTAATAATGCCTTTAAAGTTGATTGATTGATTTTTTGAGGAATGACACAAGTTTGGTGATTGGTGATTATTAATTTAATTATCAGAGAAAGTTATCAACCAACTAGCATTTCATGAGATGGGATAGGGGCATTTTGAGTGGCTCGAGTGGTTAATTTCACCATGAAAAATGAGGGGCTCAAACAGGTTTAGCCTTCGAACATGAGGTTGACCATTGACCGAGTTGAATTTGTGAAGCACCATTTAATCAAGAAATAATGCAGCTGACCAAGGAACGCATTAGGATTTAAACAGCCAAGATTGGTGGTTGACACATCCAATATGGAGGTGGGATGTATCAAACATGGGCGTTAGCAGTTGAACATGGGTTGGCGACCTAGAATTGGCTTTTGACCATCAGAGCTGAGTCTTTGACGACAATCAGTCCGGTAGATGTGACCAGTTGGTGGAGAAATCTGGGCGGACTCTGGAAGGCCTAGAGAATTGAGAAGCTCCCAAAACAAGCCTGCTGTCAAGTTGGTTGAAGTTTTTCCCCACCTGCCAGGTGAGGGTTGTTAGATTTTATGTCAGTTGCCTCCTCCTGCTCCTCCTCCTGCTCCTCCTCCTGCTCCTCCTCCTCCTCCTCCTCTCCTCGTCCTCCTCGTCGTCCTCGTCCAACTGCGACCCGCGATCCACAGTGTTCTCTGCCGGACCTCAACCACGACCATCCACGCCCAGTGTTCCCTGCCGGACCTCAACCACGACCAGCCACGCCCAGTGTTCCCTGCCGGACCTCAACCACGACCAGCCACGCCCAGTGTTCCCTGCCGGACCTCATCTGCGAGTATCCATGCCAAGTGTTCCCTGCCGGACCTCAACCCGGACAAAGAATGCCAGAAGATATGCCAGATAGATATGCCAGAAGATATGCCAGATAGAATGCCAGATAGAATGCCAGATAGAATGCCAGAAGATTTGCCAGATGCCAGAAGATATGCCAGATATATGCCAGAATAGATATGCCAGATAGGCCAGATAGAATGCCCAGAAGATATGTCAGATAGAGTGCCAGAAGATATGCCAGATAGAATGGCAGAAGATTTGCCAGATAGAATGCCAGAAGATATGCCAGATCATATGCCAGAAGATATGCCAGATAGAATGCCAAATAGAATGTCAGAAGATATGTCAGATAGAATGCCAGAAGATTTGCCAGTAAGAAAATGTATAAATGTCATGGTGGGGATCACACGAAGTAAAGTAATTTCTTTTTTTGCGTAGCTATGGTTCAATGGTTCAAGATCATTGGCAAAAAAACACAAAACAAAACTGAAAAGGAATTATAACTCAAAATAACTCACACCTCCAATGTGTTGATTAGTTCTTACAATATCTTACAATACTCAATGAGAAGATATATCAAATTCATAGAACATCATACAATATCTAATCCGTTTGAATTCCTTAGCCTATCTTTCAAAGCATTTCTATATCTTATAGCAGGTTTCACAGCAAAAGTTGGCCTTTCCCCCTGGCAGGTGCTGATTTCCCTGCGCACCAAAGAGGAGAAGATCCAATTCGCAGTGGAGGCTCTGAGGCGCTTCTGGACGACGACGTTGTGACGAAGCGACCAGCGGGGGTAGTCATGGGGGTACCTCAATAGCTGGGGGGTACCTCAAGCTCGCTGGATGGTTTATAAATGGGTATGGATCAATACCTATTAATACCATCTTTAGGGGGATGAACATCCATTTACCAGCTATTTTGATGTTCACCAGGGCTACAAGGTTTTGACACACTGCCAAATGGAAAATCCATCTATGGATGAGAACTGGAGGGTACCCCCATGACTACCGGGAAACCTTACGGATGATTGATCTAAATGATCTAAATTCATATTGGCATATATTGGCATATATTGGCTACTGTTTTTCAGTGAAAAACATTTTTTGCTGTCGAGGTGGGGACACAACTGTAACCTGCATCTTGGACCATGGGGATGGGTGAACAATGTCAACCCCGGATGAATAAACCCCTAGCCCGGCTGTGCAAAATTGGGAAGGTACCATTAAAAAAGTATCAAATCATGACTAATTATTTGGGGGAATACCCCCCAATTTTCATAAACCATGGTTTAGCAAAATCCGGGGTTGATATTACAATCTATTTGATGTTCAGGGTGCCATGGTTTTGACCTATAGCCATATCTTATCACTTGTGTGCACGGATCAAGTCACTGTAGGCTCTTCCCTTTGCTCGCGCATGTCTCTATTCTATCCAGTGGTTTGGAGCGAGTCGGAGCTATGGGTATTATATTCCCTCAAAAATATGGAGCCAAGCAGCTATAGATTGAGTTTCCATGGAGATCAGCCGCGTTGATTTGCATAGCCTAAAGGGGGCGGAACTAGCGGCGCAACAAGACCAGAAGTGTGGCACTGTCAACTTACAATATCATACACACCAGACACATGGCGCGCCATCAAACATGGCTAGCTCAGAAATCCCCAAAATCAACGGGCCTTGGGCAGAACCATCAAAGTAAATAGGGGCTTCGCCAGCAAGCCATTGTTGATTGATGTTGATTGCCAGGGGGTATATACGATTATACGATATATATTTTTTTGGCATTGATATCTTGAAACACATGCATTTATACTCATCCAATAAAGTAAACATTTTTGCACACCATGTATGTCCATATTGGTAATCTGGATGGGCTTATTTCTCTCTGTGCGTTCTCACAAATTGTGATTCACATATCTTCCTCTAGTAATTCAACAGGTTGCCAGCCAAGCATGTCACATTTCTAGATGATTCACTTATTTGTTTGCTGTCCATTTTGCTTATTTCCACGGAGACATGTTATATAAACTGGGTATCAAAGGATATGAACATATATATATTATATTATATGATATATTTAACGTTTCCATATTCCATAAAACACATATTTGATAACATTCATCATCAAACTTTAAATGACACATCTGCCACTTAACATGACATCTTTCCACAACATTCCATGGAGGTTTCCCTATTTCTAGGGGCTAGCTCCAAAAATCATCCCATGGTAGGCGTGCCTCGGCCAAGTTCGCGGGGCGGCAGAAGGTGCACGTCTCCAATAAGTTTGGCTTCACCAAATACACCAAGAAGGACCAGCGATGAGCGATTCGGAGGTTAACAAAAACGACGGTTCTTTGAAAGGGAATGGGATGGTGGAAAGTTAGGTATAGAATTGGTTGTTTGTGGAAAAACAATGATGTGTTTTTTTTTGATATGGGATCGAATTTGGATGTAATGGCGTTGATTGGAATTTCATGGGATGTTGTTCGCTGTATATTTTGTTTCAAGAGAACCGAACTGCTGGATTCAGGGTGATGAATTATCAGTTGATAAACCAGCAAACAGAACTCGGGGCACCACCTGTCCGTTAACTTGGATGTGCATTGCTGTGTACGGTGCAATAGCAAACAACATTTATGATAAGCTATCATGGTTATCGAATGTTATCGATTTGTGTCTGTCTTTCGTAAAATCAAATAATTAGGTCACTTCGAAGTGTTTGTCTAAACACATCCAAACTTTAGATATGTCAACCGGCAAGACAATGCTTACATATATGATTAATTAGCCCAGTTACAACGATTTAGTAGGGCAAGTGCCAATCCCAAGTTTTATTCTTGGTTTAATCAGTTCAATGCTGATCTGCCATTGGTGAACATCTTCCCACCCACCAGGAGTACCATGACCACAAGGCCTCCGGTCGTTTGGTCCCTGACGGCACCAACGTCCGCTGGCTCTCCAGCCGCGGACCCTTGTGGCGTCTCATCGGGCGCGAGAACGCCTAAGCAACGGCGTCGCTTGAACAGCTGGGGTACAGTTGGCACAGGGATGCAAAAAAGACGATGGGACGTGCTGGGATGATATGGTCTTTCAATGGATATAATCATGATGTGTATTTTATATCAACAACCATTTTTAATATCCATATGTATGGATATATCAATAACCATTGTTATATATTTTAATAATATTATATTATATATATTATATATATATGGATATAATGATATATATATATATATGTATATATGTATATGTATATAACCAAAAACATGTTATTTTACCGTGTCTGAAAATGGGTTATTTTTCTCCCAGTGATGACCGTTCTGGGAACAGGATGATAAACCATGAGCTGGGTCCTCCATGGTCCTCCTAGATAGCTAAGTTGGCTTATAACAACAATAACTAATTCTGAACTATTGTTCATGGGGGTTATAGACCAACTTGACAATTGGGTGGCCAGATTTATAATATATATATACATATGTTATATTATATATATGTATATGTAGATGTAGATAATCTTTCAACAAGGATCTCAATCTGATGGAACCAAGCCTCACTAAAATTCAATCAAACTGTTGACAACACCAACCGTTGAGGAAGCATCAAACGGTCCAAACTTGTTCCGGTCAAATCCTTTGGATTTGATGATAGCCCATCCACCCAGATCATCAACATGAATCAATGGGAATTTTAGGAACCGATTTATTCGAGGTACCTACCATATATAAGGCCTCTATAAGGCCCATGTAAGGGAATATCCCCACAAAATATGGCCTTATATGGTACTCATTGAATGAACTCACAGTCACCCTGCTTCGGGTAGAGTCCAAGGATAGACTTCCCCCATCCCTGTGGAAAATCTGATTGGGACACCGCTGCAGCTTCTCTAGGTTCCAGGCGCCACGCAGAAACAAATGCCATGGATGACATGTCTGGCTGAGACGTTTTCGACCCAAGGTATGTATACATATGTATACATATATATATGACATGTATGTGTGTATATATATATATATATCCTCAATGTATTTTATTCATTGAACAAAACATCATAGTATTACCTTAATGTTCATAACTAAATTTCCAGGTCATCATTTGCTCCCAGCTCCGTGAAGCTGCAGTCATCACCACGCCGTGTCCATCTTCCGATCATGGCGAGGTGCGGGGAATGGAGGTGACTCCCAGCGCAACCGATGGAGGTTTGGAGGTGATGAAATATATGTATGTATATTTAGCTATATATATATATATGATATCACCTTAATGGATATATATATATATTTATGGTGAATTGAATATATATTATATGATATCACCATTCTATATATTATATGATTTATATGACCTATATATGGTGAATTCAATCTGAACTCTTTGCTGCCTGAACTGTCTTCTTTTTTATTCGCTTCCAACTCAGGAAACAGAGTGGGTTGGGTTTTCGACTTAAACAATGTACAGTTCAAATCCTTCAAAAACCATGACTTACCGACGTAGTGCTGTAAATTCAGCGATTGTTCCAGCTGAACCAAATGGTGTGAGTGCACAGTATGTAGCATTTGTGCATTGCGTACTTGCCATTCTGACGTCTATCCTCTCGAGTGACCCGGCAACAGCCAGCATCATGAATCGCTACCAGTAGCAACAAGAAGAACAATCACTCAAAACTGCTAGCTAAGCTTAGCTAAGCAGGTTAACACAATTAGTGGGGTTTATGGTAAATATATCTATAGCTATGCGTAGTTGTATAGGTATAGTTAGAGGGTTATGAATGACCTAGTTGGTTAATAAATTCCAACTGCTTGGCTGATTATGATCAAATGAGTTGTTTCCCCCACGGTCCAAGGGTTCGCAACCAATGTGTAAATTCTGCTGCATGTTCCTGGTCAAAAAGTGGGATGATGATGATGATAATAATGATGATAATGATGATAATGATGATAATGACGATAATGATGATAATGATAATGATATACCTATGTTGGGGAATGGCCATAAATCCATTCCTCAGGCGTAATATACCCATAGGGAACCTCCTATGCAGGTTGCTTCGAAGGCAGAAGAGTCCGGTGCCCGTCCTTGAGGAGAATTGTTCGAGTGTTCGCCCCATGATGCTAAAGGTTACTTGGTGGCTCATCCCACGAATCGTAAGTGGATTGTAACCCCAGTTACAAGTGGATTAACCCTACTTATCCCATTTATAACTGGGGTTATAACCCACTTACTAAGTGGGATGAGCTACCAGGTAACGAGTGGCAGCTTTTGACGGTTTTGACTCTAAGTTGTAGTTGTAGATGTTGTAGCTCCTTGAGAATACTTGGACTATCTCAGACTAATGCTTCCACATGGGCTCTGACTGCAGAGACTGACGGATGCCTTGGTTTATTTATGTTCATGGAAGCTACAAGCCCTCAGAAAGGTCAGCAATGAGGATGTTTGTTTTGCCACACAGGTTTAGTTGCTGATAAATATTTATCACACCAAATACTGAGGGGGGTGCCTGCTAATTGTAACGATACTGGTATTACTGAGATGCCCTGACACTCGAAGATAGATCCTTGACTATGCTTGAGAACTTTGCTTCGCATCCCAATCAGCAAGTCAATAATCCATCACTGGGTTTCATATGGTTTCATCCCATTTAAAAATTGGTATTCATATGTATTCATCTTGGTTTTAAGTAGACATCGCTTCCACGTGTCGGATCTTCAGCGACGTTGCGCTACCGCTGTTTTTTTTAAAGGTCGGAAGCTGTGGGTCCTGGTGACCTTGCTGGTCCTGTGGGGATGGCCCGATGGCCCAAGCTGTCGAGGGAACGGAGGGAAGTTACCAAGCTGATACCCTCGGATTGGTGGTGACTGGAACCATGGAATTTGATTAGACTTTCCATATGTTGGGAATGTCATCATCTCAACTGACTTTCAGAAGGGGCTGAATGATTCGATGATAAACCCATGGGAATTTGAGGTACTTTATTTGCAGACAAAGCCATGTTTTGAAAAGATAGGGCATGAGAATGACTGGTTGGTGGTTTGGATACATGAATGGATTATGTGTCCATTCAGTTGGGAATAATCATCCCAACTGACTGTCATATTTCTCAGAGGGGTAGGTATACCACCAACCAGATAATCTCACATCATTACGCTTGGAACATCGATGAACATGATCCATGAATGCATTCTTTTTGTGATTGTCTATGGCTCGATGTTATACTACGATGAGTAATGAATTCAGTTGCGATTTACTATTTGTTAATGAATCAGGGGCTTACCAACTAAAACTAACTCGTCTTTCCCGGATTTCCTGGTGTTCCATGGAAAGCAATGGAGCAACTGAAGAAACCTGGCCGAAATCGTCCAAAAAGGATTTCGAAATCGATGCCATCGCATGCCCAGCTCGGACAGGCAACCCAGCTCGTGATCAAACATATGCAAATATGCTGCATATGTTCAATAATGTTCAATATTCATAATTTGATATAATTTATAGACATCCGATTAGCAAACTTCTAAGTGGAAAGTCCATCAAAGTCCGCCATTGTTCACCCCTTTTTTTTTTGTGTCCGAAACATACGGCTTCAAGACCGCCGCAGGTGTTGGAACCGAAGCCCGGGATTTCTTGGCAGTGCCTCGGACGTTTTTGTTTTGTGACTCCAAACCTTTCCCAAGTACCACATTTCATGGATTTTTCATGTTTTTTTTCTCCGAATCAGGTGTTTGGATGTGTTTAGGTCATAGGTCTAGGTTATCTCATTGATTTATTTTCCTGTACATTTGAACAAGTCCACGTGGCTTGCACCTTAGCCCAGGTGGCTCTCCCCCGAGGCATGGAATTCGGTGAAGTGGGCCCCAGGTGATGATGGCTAGACTCTAGACGGGGTAAACCCAGACAATAGTTACGAAATGCTACGAACTATAATGTCAGCAAGTAATAGTTATATGGCAGTGGGTCAATACCTATAGATACATTTTAGTGGGATGAACATCCATTTACCAGCTATTTTGGGGTTCACTAGGTACCAGGGTTTTGACACACTGCCATATGTTCGAAATGCTGCGAAATGCTACGGAATGTTACTACGAGAGAAATTTGGTCAGCAAATGACGGCTACTAATATGTTCTACCTTTGCAAGTAATGGTTTGTGGTTTTTACGGAAATGACAAATAAAGAAGCCAACGCACCAATCAATATATATATATATATTTATAACCAAAGTAAATCATTAACCAGGAATTGATTGTTACTACTGGTAGCTAACTAGCTAATGTGAGGCCTTAATTCAGGTTTGCTCGCACGCATAGAGGTGGCACCAAATGTTATATGGGATGCTGGAACCCTCCAGCTATATACGGGGTTGTTATACATTGGTTGTTTCATAAATGTCATATTTCAGTGCTGGTCATTCCAATCACATCCCAAAACATGTTCTCAGCCGATGATGCGCAGGCCATCTGAGGGTCAGAGATTGGCCACAAACCAGCAGCTTGGGCAGGTGCGAATGCTGTGATGACGTTGGATCTTATAGAAACAATGCAGATTTTCGGAGACAAAACTTACTGGTGCTTAGTAGGGAATGGATGGGTTGCTGGGGGTCGCTGGGATGATTATTGAGAGTTATTGTGGATCATTCCCTCATTCCCTACGTTTAGCATCAGTAAGAAAAAACACATGTTAGACAAAAAATAATGCAGTGGCCTTGGTTTCACCCAGTGTGACATGGTTTTGTCACCATAGAATGGGGCATCTCAGCCACCGTTTAGTGCCACGCAGACATTGGCAGTGACGTGGTTTAACCATCCAGCGACCCTGGAGCCGTGAGCGGCAAACATTGCAGTTTTTGACCATCAGCCAGGCTGGTTCAGCACCAATATTGTCACGAACCTTTCAGTGGGTGTGGGTTAAGAGTTCTTACTCTCGATGGGGGTGGATCTTGCAAAATCCTATGCAAACATTGGATTGCTCAGCAAGACGGTTCACTCCACGTGCATATAAATAATCTGGTAAAGCCAACTATAAACAATCCCCAATATTACCATAGATGGCTGGTAATAGCATTCCCTTTGCCACTGGATTTACCATACGACTTGTGTTTCTCCGCTGTCCCTCCTTCGCCCATGTCCATTCTGAACGCAAGGCTGTGAAGGAACGGGATGATGAAATCTTGGAACAGTTGAGAGATGATGAAGGCGCATACCAGGCGCCATCCGATCCGCCTGATACGACGAAAATCGGTGAGGTGACCCAAAGATGTTTTAATCACCTAGCAAAATGGGAAGGGTTCAATATGATCAGCCCATTCCTGGAGGATGGATGGTGGAATCATGGTCTGCAAATCATCCCACAGGTCCTACAGTTTTTTTTTCCACACCTTGTTCTTATTTTTGGACCACTGTGGATCCATTGCTACTCCACAGCCAATTTGAGGGTAGGTCTTGGCAAGAATGGCTGGATTCCATGCTCTTCGAGCTGAAAAAGGCATAGTTTGGTGTTAATGGGAAATCCGCCAGAATCTGGGGCACCTGTTTCACATATTGATCGATGATTCATTTACATTTTGATGATTCATTTGCATTTTGATAGATGAAAGTGATGAAAACCCGTGGATTCCCGACGGGAGGAATAGAAGATTTCCACATGAGCTCGGGAGATTTTCCACATGAGCTCGGGAGATAGTTGTGATGTAGATGAATCACCCAGCTTTATAGATTAACCCCGCAGAAGGGTATCAGTGCTGAAAAAACATGAGTCCTCCTATTGCATTCTTTTGACGGGTATATAAATATGTATATTAGAATATCCCGCCTTTGCTGCTCAACTCTAAAGATATTGAATGGGTTATTTGATTCTATATATATATATATAGATCTATGTTTTTTCTTTTTCATCGTATGAAAAACCCAAGTTTTGTTTGGTGAAGTCATATCTTCTGGACGAACCCTGGAGTCTTTTTCCTCTCTGCGTGGCTCCCTGCCCAAGGCGGATTTGCTGGGGTCCCCCCGACCTTTGTTCACGTTGACGGAGCAGTGGGGCCTGCTGGGTCTGTTGGTTGGCCTGGCCCGGAGCTCAGGGAACCCTGGGAAGCCTGTAAGAGGTGGAGAAACTGTGTGAAGATGTACAAACATGTAGCATACAATGTAGCGTTTCTGTTTTTTGGGATGTAGTTTTGAAGTTGTTGCGTAAAAGCGTTACTGGGTAGTACTTTTGATTTGTTTGGCTATGGATACCTACTGGCCAGCTCAAAAAGCAAGGGCCATATAGCGAAACTTGAGACTCGTGAATCACAGATGTCTGGAGATTTTAGATGCTTGGAAGGTTGACATTGACATTTAAAGATCGCCTGGAGAATTAGTACGGATAGGTTTAAAGAAGGATATGCCAAGCCAATATTCAATGGTTCACCAGCCTTTTTCGCGCGAAAGTTGCAATTGGTTGAGGTGTATCCCATTTTTGTACTAGCACATAGCCATTCAGCCCTAGGTTGAATCTGAATTCCTTGCTGTTGTTCACCCCCACTTTGGTTGGCATCCGCATTTAGAGGTGATGTTCCCATGAGAAACACCGTTATTTACAAACACGTATGTCACATTCAAATCCTTTCATTCCTGGACTGTATCTGATGCCTCGATCCCCACATTCTCCCGTTCGATTCTCCTATTGTGGACAATAACATCCTTAAGTAACTGGGTCCGTGTTTCGCAAAATCTGAAATCTGAAGGGAATACCCAAATATCAGGAAATATTCAGATTTAAATATACATCCTAGCTTTGGGTTTGAACATGGATCTAGCATGACTTCGTGCTTCATTTCCATGAAATCCACATCAGTCCGAAAAAATGCCAGTAACTTCACTGAAATTCCAATTTCAATGCCATTTAAATACACCATTTGTTGTTGATTTGACCCTGGATTCAGCCAGGGTTCACCTCAGAGGTAGTATTGCTGGCCAGTATGGGTGGCATGGAAAGCTCCTTCCTCGTAAGGGCTCCTGAGATCAGGTTGTCGGAAGGCCAACCCGACAAAAATGAGGAGATTGAAGTAGTCAAAGATGTGATGTTCATGCTGGTTTTGAAGGAGAAGATCCTTTTTCATAGGATTTGTAAGGAGATAATCATCTTACCAATAGGCTTTTCAATGTTAAAATAATGATTTCAAGCAGCCCAAATGGCGATTTTACTATCAGAATAAACTCGTTTTCAATGAATCATGGATTTGACATGATTTGACCAATGTCGTATAAGCTGTAAATAATTCCAGATATTCACTCCATGCATAACTGGGTTTTACTACTCTGGATCCCACCCTATGATTAACAAACATTTTACCAAGTGGGATGACAAGGGGTCGGTTTGTCCGTCAATTGGGCATGCGTGCCCAATTTTGCCGTCACCTTTAATGAAACAAATGATCTTCAAACATCAATGTTGTGTATTATTCTGGCAAGACATGGCATGATGGAAAAATGATGGTCGATGGTACAACTATACTCCCAAATGGATGATCGTCATGTTCCCCTTGATATGGCAAAATTTGGAGTAATTCACCCAATTTACCATCTGGCAATTTAACATAGCTATTGAAAATAGCCATAATGGTTATTTTCCATAGTTATGCTAGTTTACCAGAGGGTAACCCGTATATTCCACCATGTATGGAAAAAAACACAATTTAATGATCAGACTTATTGGGTTTCTCAGTGCAGAAAAAATGGTAAGTTGCAAGGCCCTCAAGATGCAACCAGGCCCCAGGGCCCCGGGGCCCCAGATGTGCAAGTTGTTTGATAAACCCCCATCCTAGTATCAGATAGGATCCATGGTGCTGGTATATTAATGCTAACATGACTGGGGGTATATTGATGGGATCCATGGAGCACCATATATAGCAGCACCATGGATCCGTCATGGGGTATCAGATAGTACTACTTCATACTAGTTCGATATAACCATAAACCCTGGAAATCACCCAGTGGGCCCACAGGGACCACCAAACCGGTCATAGCAAATCCCATCCCCATATGAATCACTTTATACATGGTCCCAAGATGTCCCAAGTGTATATATATATATATCCATAGGATCCATGGTGCTGCTATATATAGTACTAGTAACATGGATCCCATCAATATACCCCCTTTATGCTAGCATATATACCAGCACCATGGATCCGTCATGGGATATATTACGATTATTTATAAATCCGCTTGTATCACAATCTCCCCTATTGGAAGGCAATAAACTGGAGATATACCGGATGTACACACCCAGATCATATGTGTTGAATATAAAAAATATACCCCAATCTCCAGCATCGTTGAATCCCCATGAATCACCAAGGATCTCTTGCAGGGCGGCTGGGACCAAACTCAGGTGCCGCTAAGCGCCGCTAGCGCACGGAGACGACTATGACACTCATGACGCTGTTGTTACGGTTGTTACGTGTTGTTACCATGTGTGCCCCCTAGTTTCAAGGTGGTGTATTCATCCAACTAGTTGCCAAGCCACTTAGCTTCAACGTAGCTATCGAATTCGGGCACCACCGACCGTATGATGATGGCATTCATGTGAATACATATAATATATATATATATAGTTATATATATATATATATCACTATATATATACTGTATAGTTTTGTAAATATATGTATTGTTGTTCCTCATAGCACTGGACTTGTTCCTCATAGCTTGTACATACACTCCGGCAATCAGCTCGATGGCAACGGAACGTTCCCCCATGTCGAAGATTTCCCAGCCATGATCCAACCTGGTGGTAAATCAGCCATAAGTTGTTGTAACCACACAGTTATGGCCATTTATCAGTTATAAGTACTAACAAGTCACCCCATTTATAGAATGTATAATCCCATTTTTAACCACTTATAACTGGTAAATGGCCATAACTGCAGGTATCCACGAATCAAATGAAGCAAACTGAGGTAGTTTTATTTTTCACCCCAGTTCACGCTCTGATCATTGATATTTTGATGGGTACACTGGGATTTATCTGGTGGATGCCCACCCTTTTGTTGGGGTCAAATCCACTGGGAATGGGAGGTCATCTCACAATTTCACTTTCTGAAATCCCAAATTTGGCATGCCCGAAAGGCTGTAAAACCTTGCTTTTGACTTCTGAAGTTGTTTCAAATTCAAACTTTGACTGGTGAGCACCTTTTTGCTGTGTTGGCTTTACAGTTTTACAAGTCTACATCTCATGTTTCAGCTTGTGAAATCCACATTTCAGCTGGTTCAACTCCAAATTGCATTAATTGCAATGAAACCATGATATTTTTGATGGTAAAATCCTATGAAATCCACACTTTAGCTAGTTAAGTCCCGTTGTTTCCCAAGTGAAATCCACATTTTCATACCTTTTTCATCCGAGTTTTCCATCACCATTTTTTTGCCTCGGTGAAATCCCTGGGATTTGGGGGGTGTTTTTTGGCGTAGGCCATGGAGGCGCTCACCACGTTGAATGAGGCCCAACTGATTTCGTGGAAATATATGGTGGAGATATAATTCTGTATAGAATACTGGTTAGATTGGTTAGATTGCGGGAAATCATCCCCTTTTATGGCCCAAGAATTCAGGTTAGTGAAATATTATAATTTGCCCATACATATATAATTATATAATTGTATATATAGGAAGTTTTATGGTAAATGATATTGAAAATATCATTTTTATAGCACCAACTTTCATCTTGTGGAAAATAATATGGATTTTGCTAGCACCAAATTGAACTGGATTCACCAACAATCAACTGAAATTGGCATGTCAATTTCATCAATGACCTGTGAATTTCACCCACTGGTGGAAAGAATATGGTTTTTGGGGTATGAAAATGCTGTATACCACCCAGCAATTTTAATGGGACAATTATGATACTTGAATGGGTGGGGTTACGGGACACCCTTCAGACCAATGCTCAACTAACGGCGGCCCAACATGGCCCATGGTGGGCACTTTGAATAGCAGGTGATCAGGTGCTGGTGATGAGATTGGCCCAGAAGTCGTTGCCAGGGTTTCATGTGGACTTAAATTGGCGGTGTAACCTATCACTGGCTACGGGGAGCGCCGCCTTTCTGTGTGTTTGGTCCTGCTTTGAAGATCTAAAGCCGACCATGATTTCCCCCGAGATATGGTTAGGATGCAATCATCAAACGGTGGTTAAGTAATAAATCCCCTATGTGTATTGGCCGCGAAAGTGAACACATCTAAAACTGAACCTTGGTTTCTACGCAGGTATTAAATATTGGGGGAAGGGCATTGATGTTCCCTACACAGGAACTTGATAATATCTTGATAACGTGGAAATGCAGCTTCAGTTGTAAGTAATCATAGTTATAGGCATTGTATCCCAATAAACATGATAAACATGTGGTGGTTTTAGTAGTTTACAACATTTAACAACCATGGTTAAACCCATATAACCCATATATAACCCCAACTGCACCTCGAAGAACTGGACTTTTCTCACCTTGTCGACCAAATCTTGCCAACGCAGGGTACAGCCGCTGCTGGTGCAGAGGTCAATGGATCACCTTCCCTGTGGAATCTGTGGATTTTCTATAAAATGAGCCATGGACTCTATGGAATGTGCTTTTTTTTGTAGGGAATGGATGTGAATGGGGAGATGATCACCAATCCTATATAAGAATGATACTATTTTTATAATGGCTATAATATTATGACCCAATGGTAGATTACTATATAAATATATAATGGTATTGTTAATGAGTATAGATCATTTACCAATCCCTACGTGTAGCACCAATGGATCCCAAGGGATCGTAGAAACAACTTGGCCACGAGTCACGAAACTGACTTAGAAGAAACTGCCGGTTTAGTGAATCTACTAGATTGTAACTGTTTAGTGATGTTTTATGACTATGAATGACTAGCAATGACTATTCATATGGATCAATATATTCATGACATGTGGATGTTTCATGATGTTGAACAAACAAACTCGATACTACACCAACAAGCTCAGGGATGTTACCCTTGAAAACCACGTATTGGATTTGTTTTTTTCGTCATCCTTGACCAAAAAGGGTTTGTTTGAAAATAGGCACCCTGATCCTCCATAGATTACCTATCAGGTCACTAACCATTATACCTTACCAGAGGGTAATTTTGGAATTTCTAGGGCAAAATTATAATTACATAAGTCATCATGTGTTATTCCATATGTTCTCATTTTTCTGATGCATATATCGTATACTCATATATATATATATATATGTATCGCATGTGTATAGACATAATATGTGCATGCACATCATTTAATCTAGGCAAATCAACCAAGATCATAGTCATTATTTATTTCCTCAAGGTTCAAAGCCATATCTGCGGGTAAATTCACCACTAAGTAACCAATCAACCATCATGTTTCATGGTTTTCTCATACAGATCGAGACAAGATCCCACAAGATTCCCTAGAAGTCCCATGACATCATTCCAACGCTTCCACCTGGAAAATCCCATAGAATCCATGGCTAGATTCCACTTGATAAATTTCATCTGGTTGGTGGTTCGGAACATGAATTTTATGACTTTCCATATATTGGGAATGTCATCATCCCAACTGTTACTCACTCCATCATTGTTCAGAGGGGTAGGGTTTTTCATGAAACCACCAACCAGTCATCAGTTTAATGGTATTTAATGGTATTATAGTGGATGAATAGTGGATGATATCATTTTCAGATCTAAATAAAACCACCTTAAGCAGTTAGTAAAATTTCCATGGGAAATCAGCGCCCGTAAATCACCGGTACCCTCTGGTAAACTGTCACATAACTATGGAAAATCACCATTGTTCATGGGAAAACTCACTATTTCAATGGCCATTTTCAATAGCTATGCTTGACATAACCAGAGGGTAAATTCACCAGTGGTTATTTCTATGGGATTATACATTCTATAAATGGGGTGACTTGTTAGTACTTATAACTGATAGCCATGGCCATAACTGTAGAAATGTCCATGGAAATCAGCGCCGGGAAATCGCCGGGTTGAAATTCACCAATGAAATCCCAACCATGACTTCACCGCATGACTTTTTCAGGTGGCAGGTGGCATCCTGGAGCCGGGGCTCAGCATCGCAGCTCGGTGTTTCACCAGCTCTGTATATACCCAACCTATCCCAACCTGGTTATGGGGATTTAATGGTGATTTAACCACTAGGAAAATGGTGATTTAATGGTTAACAATGATGAATAATGGGATGATAATAGGATGATAATGTATTGATATACCCTCTGGTTATGACTAACATAGCCATGGTATAGATGGCCCTCAGAAATAGATGGTTTACCTATTAAAAATGGTGATTTTCCATGGCGAACTGTTAAATAACCAGATGGTAGATAGATCTGGGTAAATTATAACGACCTCACTGTTCTCCCCAAGCCTGGAAATCATGGCTAAGATTGCGGGGAATCATCCCCTTTTTTTTGGTTTTAATTCAGGTTAGTGAAATATGTTAATTTACCCAGATAGATGTTTATATTTTTTTTAAAAATATATATATAGATAGTTATCACATCGATTTTTTTGGATTTGTTCTTGTTGAAATATATTACAAATCTGTAGTAATTGATTTATTTGTTTTTTGTTTTACTATTTATTACTTATGATATTAACTGTTTATTCTTATTATTCTTATTACTGTTATTATTGTTATTATTATTGCCATTGTCAATATATATATATATACATATTATATTAGATTATGGGGTATAGTGTGACCTGACGTCGTGACCGAAAGGTTGGGAATCGTGAGACTTGGAAGAATTGGATTCGTGGAATCAACCCCAAAGGGCTGCAAGTTTCAGGTTAGTGAGCCGTTATGATTTATTTACCCAGATATATCCCATAGGACCCATGTATGCTATATATGGTAAATTTACCATCAATATACCCCAAAAGTTAGCATATGTATATAAATACCATACATGGATCCTATGGGTATGTAATTTGTCTATATATATATATGTATATATGGATAGTAAACTTTATGCATACATATGTATTTGTTGATAGGTTGATAGATAAATATACTCACGTGTTGGTTGTTTCTTTGTTTTGTTTTTTTGCTGATGACCAGTGTATCACCCCAGGTCTCTTCACACCCAAATCCAACGGTTTTTGTTGGTTGGTTGAATGGTCGGTCTATCAAAGTTGGGCGCTGGTGATCCATTTTCAGTCACTCCAACATCATATTATGCTGGTTATATGTGTATATAAATATATAAATATTATATCAATGACATATAATATAGATATATTTAAGCTGGTTATATGTGTATTATATATATATATATACCCTCTGGTTATTTAACATAGCCATGGTATAGATGGCCCATGTATAGGTGTTTTTCCCAGCTATAAACCTCCATTTATTTGGGGGATTTTCCATGGCTATGTTAAATAACCAGATGGTAAATATGTATTTAAAACAACCAAAAACACATTCAATGCCATTAGATCCGTTCAAATGCCATTAAAGTCATCAAGATCCCACGATATAAATCACATGAAAAATCACCATGTTTTCACAGGATGGGGCCCCCAGTCGAGCGAAGGCGTTCAGAAACGCCTTATTTCAGTGGCTGAAAAACTATTGTAAAATGGTAGATATTTCACGAACTAGTTTTCATGGGGGCTATTTCCTAGTTTATAAATCAACATTCACATCACTGGGGGGCTCCATCCCGCATGGATCTATTCATATCGACCCTGTTAACGCCAGGCTCTTCCAGGTCTGCTGGCTTCGCTGGGCAGTTTGGTCACGTTGCTCAGGGGTGTTTTTGTTGGGGTCAGTATGGGATTCTAACCAGCCAAGATTGGTGATTTAAACACAAAAAAATAGACTTAATCACTACAAAATGAGATTTAATACATTAAACTGTGTTGAACCCGTACATGTATATATATATATATAGGATATGGGTGTCTGAAAACTAAAAACCAGAGGAATTACCGCAAACATTGCCATTGTGATGAGGACATGTTTTTAACCACCTGATTTTAAGGTAACCTATGATTGAGTTTGAAATGCTGATCATTTTCCCATGCCCACTTTTTTTTGGGGTTGAAACCGGTTGAAACCACCAACTGGTGGCTGTGGAACAAGTTGCTCCGGTGTTGGTTCTTGGGATGGAAAACGCGTAGACTTCCCTTTGACTGGCTCAGATCTTTCCGTACAAACCCCCATTACCCTCTGTTTATTTAACAGTTCGCCATGGAAAATCATCATTTTTAATAGGTAAACCATCTATAAATGGTCCATCTATACCATGGCTATGTTAAATGACCAGAGGGTAAAAGAAAAAAACACATCACTCAGAAAAATCTCATTGACATAGCATGTTTGATTCAACTGTCCCACCATCTTCTGACCCAAAGTTTTTTTTTGCCCACGAGCGGCCATTTCTGAGGCTGGTTTGGTGGTCCAAGGAATTAAGGACGAGAAGAGATGCCGAATTCGCCCAAGGGCTTTGGGAGAATGACCAATCTGGGTCAGTTCCAAGTCAATTAATGGGAATATCTACGTTCACCAGCAAAGAATTTTGTTTTTTTTGCAGGGTATCTAAGATTGGCAATGTGTCTAAATCAATTAGCCTCTGGTTATTTAACATAGCCATGGTATAGATGGTCCATTTATAGATGGTTAAAAAAAAATGATGATTTTTCCATGGCTTTGTTAAATAACCAGATGGTAGCCTATCCCAAATTAGACCCTGACAATAGCCAATTGCTAGAAACTAATCTTCCAAGCCCCTGTTTGACAGGGTCTATGTTAATTTGGGGGAGGGGCCCTCAAATGGGCTTTGATTGGCTTCGAATTACCAATGGGAAGATTAGCCTCAATCAACCATAGGCTTTGATCCGAATTCGAATGGGTAAATTTAACAGTTTCCTATGGAAAATGGCCATAGAAATAGTTGATTTACCCATTAAACATGGTGATTTTCCACAGTTATGTTAAATTACCAAATGCTAACCACAGATTGATGAGCAAATAGATTTTTAGCTTCTGTTTTGGGTAATGGCTGGGTATTGAACGAAAAAAAGTGGGAATTAAAATACGGTGTCTTCAAATGGGGTATACCCTCAGTTATGGCGATTTTGAGTTGGGAAAAATGATGATAAATAAACCACTGAATTAAGGGCACGTCGTTTTCAGACAAACCCAAATGGTGGAATCATGTTTGATATATGTTTTTGAATAGAACATTGATGATATATTGATATATATATATGTTTGATATATATATATATATTAATATTGACAAACCCGCAACAATGTTTGGGCTTCCAGCGCCTAAAATTTGATGGGGAAATGGTTGCACTGTTTTATCGCAGATTGGGAAATGTGATTTCAGTGGTCCCGGTGTTTCATGATCCAGATCCGTTCCTTCACCGCGTCCTGTGGGTACCCTCTGGTTATTTAACATAGCTATGGACAATGGACAATGGCCCATAAAAATGGATGATAAACCTGGTGATTTACCTATCAAACATGGATGTTAAACCTTTCCATGGCGAAGCGTTAGTCATAACCAGAGGGCCCAGCTGCACTTTCACCATGACCTGAAACACGGAACCAGATCGTTACTAGCAATGCAGGAGTTTTAGTCCGTCAGGTCTTGGAGGGGAAATTCCTCCAAAACCATATCTAGATTTTTTGGGGGGAAACATCTATGACAATATCATCCATTGTTGATTTACCATCATTTACCATTTCTATATATCTACATATAATATAATACATGTATGTAGATATATGTATATATATATATATGGTTGGTGGTTTGGAACGTGACTGGATTATTTTTCCATATATTGGGAATAATCACCCCAACTGACTAATATTTTTCAGAGGGGTAGGTATACCACCAACCAGCATTAACCTGCACAGCCTGAGAAGGCACAGAAGGGGTGCTATTGGACCTACATCTTGGTGGTTGAGCGGTTTTAAGCTTCCAGTTTAAAAAATGCAATGAACACGATAATGATTGCAATTCTAAACCAACAAACACAAATTTTCAAGATTGCAATTTCTAGAGAAGGTTCCTTCCATCTTCAAGTAGTCTTCGAAGAGAGTTGGGGACGAATCAATTGTTTTTCGCTGGCGTTGGACCGTCGATGCTCAAGCTGGCAATTATTGACACGCTCTCACCAGACTTGCACGGGACAAACAGTTTGTTCCCAATAACCTATTTTGTTCTAAGACCGACCTTTAAAGCGTTGTGAAGTTGCTGAGTCTTTGATAGTCTTTGCGCACATTTTGCCAACTTTGCAAGAAGGCATGGTAGGAGCCCCAGGTAAACTTCCGAGGTCTCTGTCAGGTGCCCACCTAACCTATCGAGCAGCACCGTTCAAACTCACATCGAATCCCTTCATTTTGGACGCTGCCTGGCGTCCTGTGGATGTTCCACAACTGTTGGTGGTGAACTCAGATGGTGCAAAACGTTCCCTTCCAGAATGCAGACCCTTGTCAATTTGTATATATATATATATATACATAGAACACATACGTAATATGTCTAGATACATAATTTTAATAATAGTAATAATAACAGTAATAGTAATAGTAATAGGGTAATAATAAGATATATGATTTGTATATATATATATATGTATATAGACACATACATCATTGGACGCATCAAAACATCGTTGGATCTGGAAACTTTGACTACTTGCTATCTCATCCCTTTTTATTGTCAGGGTATTGCCCCAGCTATCTATTGGCTAACCTTACTTGACCAACTTATCACAGGCGTATAATTACCACACTTTCTGGACAAGATGAAGCACCAAGTGACATTAAATCCGCATGTTTTGCGGTTCTGCCTCTTCTGGCTCTGTTGTGGGTCAACCTCCGTTTTGTTTCTTTGGTCAAACGAGATTTTCGTGATTTCAGCAGGGCAACTCACGCTAAATCCCTAGTTGCTTATGCTTGGTTCCTATCAAATCCCATCAACCCCCCTTTCTCAGGCTTGATGGCAGAGGGAAGTCATCACGACTTTCTGGGCCGCCTGGATGCAGTGCAGTGCAGAAGCGTGGCACCTTTTGGACCTGCAACGAATGTGGCGTACTGTGGAGTTGTAAATATATATATGCATATGTTTTTTGTTTGTAATGTAATGTAATGTAATGTAATGCAAGGTAATGTGGTGTGATGTGATGTGATGTATACATACATTAACATATGCGCCATGGTCAAAAGTTGATTTTTCTATACATGTTCATTTGTTGTGCAAGTTTGATCTCATTGGTAGCCGCCACGAGTGCTTGGGGCCAGTGAGTGTGGACATCGACTTTCGTCCACATGCCTGCAGTCGAAAGTTGGATTGTATACCGATAGTGGGGGATGGTCATCAATTCATTAAGAGAGATTTAACTAATTTTATACCCATTGTAAGATTTCCGGTTATGGGATGGATGACCATAAACCACATTCCATGTTTTGCCCCGCCAGTTCATAAACATTCAAATGTATATATATATATACATATCCTACACCCTCCAAGAACCTAGGAACATGGGGTATTATGGCCACTACTCTAGTTTTCCAAGTTTTATGGGTACTTGGAGGGTCTGATTATATACGCATCTGTGGATATAGATATAAACGCATGCATCTCATAAATGTATATATATATATATTCTGTAATTTCATAAATGTATATATATATATATTTATATATATTCTGTAATTTCATAAATGTATATATATATATATATATTTATATTCTGTATGTATATATATATATATCTTTCTGTATAATGTACATGTGTACTGCGTAGTTACAAAATATGTAGATACACAATGCTGGTAAATTTCGGGGGTTGCAATAGATGCCAATTTGAGCGCTCAGAAAATGTACCCAAGGCTTACAGCAAGCAGAGGATCCAGAGGACCAAGGGCCCCAAGGGCCCCAAGGGCCTGGTGTTCTGTTTCGGCAGCCAGGGCCACTTGGGTCTGGTTGAAGTAGTTTTTTTGCAGATTGTGCCAGTTTCCAACCCAAATCTGTTCCATCACATCCTGTGTTTGTTCCATTTTCTTCCGATTTTACCCAGGTTTTTTCATGGCTTGGCCACCCGGGTTTCATCACATCGAATTCACCGGAAACAGGTGCTATCGAAAATGGCTTGGAGTCAGACGTCTTGGTCTCCAACTTACCGTGAATCACAGGGAAAGACCCAAGCTGTGTACCTCACAAAGATCTTACTGGTGCTAAACGTAGGGAATGAGGGAATGGGATGATTGTTGATATCTAATCTAGATCATTCCCACATTCCTACTAAGCACAAGTGAATTTTACAGTTATCCTGGATATCCTCTTATCCAATAGGGACACAATGCTCTGGCTTCTCGAAATAGAACAGTTGTACTTCCCAGGAGCCTAGCAGCTTTGATGTTTTGTAGAGAGGTAGTTTTTCTTGAAAGGTTGTGATTCCTAGCGTGCCGGAGAAACATCCACTATTTGGATGCAATAAGATGTGTTGGAAACAAGCACAACCAAGTCATTTTGCCCTGACATCACCCCAAGAACCCTTGCAACCAACAGCAGGAGTTGCTACAGAGTCAGGATTTGGGACATGAGAGGTGCGAAGTTGGGGAGTTCGACGATTCGACGATGGCAAGACTACCTCTTGTTTATTTGATTCAGTGTATGACTACTCTAACAGATGGGTTTGTGATGGATATATCATATCTATAGGCGGATGGGGGAAATCAACCAACTCATAAGTGGTGTGCACCACTTTGCAGAAATAGCGCGTTTCTGGTGGCTATGGATAACTTATTTTTTTGAAACGTTGGGTGAATGTTCCATTGGTTGCTGGCAGGATGATCCTTCCAAGTGATGTATATATATATATATATATATAGGATGTATCGAAACCTATTGTTCCATATTTGGGGAAGTGCAGTGACATTTAGAGATGATTGACTCCAATGAATGAAGAGTGATTAAAGGATGTTGCTTGATTTGTTATTTGATAGGAATATCATCGGAATCTGAATCTAGTTGCTTACAATTTACAATGAAACCAATGATGGGATAGAATGAGGATACAAGGGGGATATGCCCTCCAGCAAATTATATTTCAAAATCAATAACCCATCTGAATATGGCTACCCCACAAAGTCACCATGCAATTAATAAGAGTAACTTCGCACTATTTCAGCGGGATGTTACATTTCTATCCTTGTGTTATATATATATATATACATATGTAACTGTAGTAAGTATATATCTGTAGAATATCCATATATAAATTTCTAATTGTAGTTGTAACATATACATATACATATATATATACATAGATAGATCAATCTGTAGTAAGGACATATTTTCCAACAGATCTTCAGTTGTGCGATTGCAATTCAGTTGTGCCAGGTCAACGAAATGCTCAAGAGATCCACCAGAGGCAACTGGATCGGTTGGGGATGGTTATTCTGTCATGTTTTAACCTACTCTCTATGTAGATATATATGTATATATATATATATATT